CCTGTCCCTAAAAGAATCCATGTGTCTTCCTAAAATCTCTCTTTGATCCTGTCCTTTTAATAACACCGTCAGTGCCTACTACTGGGTCTAGACAGACCTCTGCTGAGCAGTCAGAGTCTTCCCTGACTCCACAATGCCCCTTTCCTTGGCCGACCAGTGTGACAACTGGTCCCCACCTTTCCCTTGCCTATCCCTGCCTCCCTCCTACTAGATTGTCCCTTCCCTCTCTTCACCCATTCATTCATGACCATTCTTCACTACCGGGCTTCCTCCCCACCCACTCCAAAGGAGGCTGAGGTTTTTGTGACTCTCTAGACTGTATTGTGGGATGGAATGAATGTTGCTAGAGAATCTTGTGTTCACTTTACTTTAAATAAGTATTTTTTTCCTAATTAGAAAATTGATGTGTCAGTTATGGAAAAATTAAAAAATAGAAATGCAGGACAAATACATGAATATCATCAGTAAATATCTTGTCTTTTTTGGGGGTGTGAATTTCTTGCCTTGTTGTGATCATATTATGTTCTTTATCATGCAATTTATGTTCTTTTCTCACTATTACATGTGGTTATTACAGATTTTCACAAAGATACTTTATATTGCTGGTAATATATTTTATTGTGTAGGCTTACAATTTACTTAACTTTCTTTCAGTTATTAGAAATTTAGGTATTTCCAGATTTTCCATATTGTAAATAATGCTGTGTTGATCAATTTTGTGAATGAAATGTTTTTGTGTATTTCAGTTTATTCTCTTAGGATAGTCTCTCAGTGCCAAGTTGTCAAAACATCTCTATTTTGCTTCTCTTCCTGCTCTCTTGCTGCCTTAGTGGGTAGTAAACTGAAATACAGAGTAAGCTCGATACAAATAAAGAAACAGAAATAAGTACCCTGATGGTAATAGTTGAAAGTGGTAACCTGTTTTAACTTCTCATTCTTTGTGTATTAGTGACCTTGATCATAGTTCTCTTTGTACGATGCTTGGGCATTTGTATTTCCACTTTTGTGAATTTGCCTTTAAATTTTGGTTATGGGTTTCACCTTTGAATGTAATCAAACAAATAGATATTTTCCTGTTATATACACAGACCCCTCCCCATCTGGAGATTGAATAAATATTCATTTTTCTTTGCATTGTTTGTGGTTTGGTCTTATAGTTACTGTGTCTCTCCACCCCATTATCAGAGTAACATATGCTTATTGCATAAAATCTGGAACATGTGAAAAATGAAGATGAAAAGCCCACCATTTGAGACATAGCCACTGTTGACATTGGTGTATTTCCTTTCACTCTTTTACCTGCCTACAGATATATACCAGATGTGGACATATTAAGCTTTACATAGCTGCAGTCTACTCATATAATCTATATCTTGCTTTTTTGATCTAACATAAAAGCAAGATATGGTTAGCTTGTTTTTTTATGTCATTGACAGTTCTTGGTTAACAGCTGTAATGGCTGCACAGCCCTACTTCATCTTTTTTTTTTTTTTGGACCACCTTCTCCTTATCCATTCATCCGCCAGTGGCCACTTGGGTAATTTCTACCTTTTGGCTCTTGCAATAATGCTACTGTCAACAAGAATGTACAAATATCTGTTCGAGTCCCTGCTCTTAATTGTTTTGGGTATACACCCAGCCTACCATGCTCTTGAATTACTTAAAATGTTGGGGTTTGTGCTGGGAGGTAAGCCAGGTGACTCTGGAGCAGCCTGACCTTGGCTACAGAGGGAAACTGACTGTTCTCTCTCTGCCTAATCTTACTGCCATCTGTCAGGTTCCCAAGCTGTTCATCCCTCACTGTGTGTGTGAAGGGCTTTGGGTGTAAACTACCAAATAGAGGCTCAGCTCCTTTTCCTTTCCCAAGTCCATCCTGCATGTTAGAGTTCTTCAAAGGAATCTCTTGAATTCTGGCCTGGGATCTGGGGTTAAACTAGAACCCAGGTTCTCCCTTTGGCATCTGCCATTGTCCCTTTGGGCCTTAGGGATAGCCCATTGTGGTGGAAGCTGCCATCAGCCTCACTGCACTCAGTGGCCCCTTGGTTCTCCAGAACAGTTTCTCTCTTCTGCACATGAGAACTTGAACCAGAGAGGACTGTCATTAATTGGTGCCTTCATATCACCTATCATTTGGCCATAATGAGCGAGAGTTCTCACTGCTCTTGGGTCTTGCCTTTCCACCTGTTACTGAAAGCTCCTGTTGGTGTCCCTGTCCGCCAACTCACCTGATGGGGCAGATGGCGCTTTCCTCTGAGTGATAAAACAGTCTGATGTGGGGAGCCCACACTCAAGGGTTTTCTTTGGGATCACAGTTTCCTCGCTGTTACTCCTGGCCCTGCCTGAGATCACTGTCATGCGTGGTGCTAATCACCAAAGAATGTCCTGGTTTGATTCCGGATTCTAAGTGATAGTCCTTATCCTCTGATGGCGGAAGAGTTTGGGTGGGAGAGAACAAATGTGACAGGTTGGCTCCAGATGATGTGGTGGATAGGAGCCAACCCCCAGGTACTTGGCTCCGAGTAATGTGATGGCCAAGACAGGAGGGGTCCCACTGCCAATGAGGAACAAAAGCTTGAGGTCTAGTAATGCATTCCACACAGGCTAGGAAGCAAGAGTTTGGATGAGGACAAGAAGCAAAGGCCAGAGCTTAACTGCTTTTTGTTTTTCCTCTATAAAAGTTGGACTATGATTTATGTGGGTAAGAAGGTTTGGAGCAGGACTAAAGCTGCCATTTACAAAATCTTGCCCTAATTCATTGTAGTTTTGGGTGTGTTTCCGAAAGAACCTTTTGCAGGTGATTTTTATTCAGTACTCATTAGCTTAACAGATTTTATGAATTCATTATCTTCTGCATTATTGAAAAACATACCTTTGTATTTGTGTTAAGTACAACATGAGTTATTATGTGAACAAATCACATTAAATTAACCATTATCATTGTGTGTGCAATTCTTGCTGCTGTTTTGGGACCACTTGATGCTGCTTTAAAACAAATGAAACCATTTAACAGATCTTGATACTGCAGTACAGGTTTGCCCCCCTTAAAGTATCCCACCTATTCCTCCTCATGTGAGGCCAAGGCAGCTGTGGTGTGGGTTTTTGGAAAGGAGTTGAATTCTTGAGGGTAGATGGTAAGTTGCACTTGACCGTAGACACACTTTTCTGGGCAGTGATATGTCTCTTAGCTTGCCCTGCAGTTATAGTACAGAGACTCCGCAGAAAGAGGAAGTGGGCTGACCAATTAGATATGCTTAGAGAAACCATATGTGCAATAGCAACAAGGTAAAGAAATTAAATTAGTGGGTTCTTGGGGTCCCAACTGGAAATTTGGGACCCCAAGCAAACCACTGGCCTGCTTAGTGGTCTTGGCCTAGTGCCTTCTGAGCTTTAGTTTATCTTTTTCTACCTATCCTATTGGTTTTGACTAAAGATTTGGAAGGCAGTCCCTCTTATATTGGTGAGGACATTGGAAGGCATATATTTCCAAGTAGATCAGGGAAGGCTGGAGTAATTGAGTAGATCTCAGAAGGTGAAGTAACATCAATGTATTCATTTACTGGCTTGTTTATTGTGTAAGGTACGAAGTTTAAAAGGCACAAACATATGGGAGGATTGCTTGAGGCTGGAAGCTCTTAGACTAGCCAGGGCAGCATAACAAGACCTCCATCTTTACAAAAAATAATTTTTTTTAATTAGCTGGGTGTGGTGGCATGGCACCTCTAGTCCCAGCTACTCGTGAGTCAGAGTCAGGTGGATCCCTTAAGCTTGGGAGTTCAAGGCTGCAGTGAGCTCTGGTCATGCCACTGCATTCTGGCCTGGGTGACAGAATGGGACCCTGTCTCAAACAAAAAAAGGCACAAACATGAATACAACGAAGAGTCATTTTCTCTTCCATTTTGTTCCCCAGCTACTCTATTACCTTCAGAGGCAAGCATGCTTACCAATTCTTGGGAACTGCTGAAGTTTGAAAAGGATAAATGGAGGCCTAACAGGCAGGTTCCAGGACCAAGGTGCTAGGGAGGGGTGACCCAAGGGAGCAGTATTGCACATGCAACCCTTCACATTGTGGCCAACAGCTCAGGATGCGGGTGTCGTGTGATGTGGCTGCCAGGAAGTGAAATACATTTCAGGCTACATAAATGGGTATTCAGGAGGAAGGAGGAGGTAAGCTGCTCTGCCTATGTGCCACCGTCAGCCAGCACCTGGAGAATTGTGTTCAGTGGTGAACACGGAGCTGTCATGGAAATGTGGACAAACAGGAGCATGTTTAGAGGACAGCCCTAAGATGGATGAGACCCAGCATGTCATGCGAGGAACAGTTGAAGGAGTGTTCGAATGGGGAGCGAAAAGACTCTGGGGTGGGTAAAGGTAGCGCGGGTTGCGGGGGAGAGCATGGCACTATCCTGAAATTTCTGAAGAACCATCAGAGGCAAGAGAGATTAAACACACTATCTAGATCCCCAAGGGAAGACCCAGTGCTGGACCCTGCAGGGAGACAGATGTCATTCAGTGGTTGAACTTTCTAACATAGCAGATTACCATTAGAGGAGCCTGCTCCTAAGTGTGGTGAGCTGTCATCTGAGGTATGTAAGCATCACTTAGGCAAGAGGTTCTCAATAGGGAGCAATTCTTCTCTTGGGACATTTGTCAGTGTCTAGGGTCATATTTGGTTATCACAACTGGGGAAAGGCCGCTACTAGCATCTAGTGTGTAGAGGCCAGGGATGATAGGAATCACATACAGAGAGCACCCCACCTTCGACAATACAGAACTATCTGGCCTAAATGGCAATAGTTCCAAGTCTGAGAAACCCTAACATTGGCAACCATTTGCCAGAGAAACAAAAACGACTAAAATCTCCCCTTTCTCCGAGACTTTTATGATTGGGGAATGCACGCTCAATTTTTAAAATAGCTGGCTGACTATATAAGGTGAGTGGCCCTTTGCATGTAGCCTTGAAAACATTTTTAAAGATTGCAAGGAGCTTTCAAATAAAGATGAATATTTAAAAACAAACCATTTTATGTAGTGGTAGTAGATTGCATTTCTCTTTCTTCCTGTTTCGTGGAGAGACTCTCCCATCTCAGTTTCCTCTCCTATAAAAGAGAAGTTAATTAGGAGATTTCTTTTAAAAACTAATATTGCATTTTTTCCTTTGCTGAAAAAGTATTACATATTCATCACAAAAAAATAGAAAAATACACAAAAGCAAAGAAAATTACCTGACACCAGTGGCATAGGGATCCTTCCCCTGAATAATATACATATAAAAATGGATCATACTCTATATCCTATTCGTTCTTCTACATCCTGTTTTACAACCTGGCTGTGTGGTGGTACGGCACCTCTAGTCTGCTTTTCACACTGCATGATTTCCCGAATTCCAAATTTCTATGGCACACAAATTGGAAGAATTTCTATACGAACATGTGAGGCCATTTCCTGGAGGAAAAAAGCAGAAACCTGAGTTTCCTTCCTCTCCCATGACGTCTAATGAATGTGAATGTTTCCACAAAAGTTAATACTGAGGCTGCTGCTTTTCCTAGCCTTGACTTTCGTGACTCTTTGCTTACAGCGGGGCTTGGATAGCTCAGAAACTCTATGGGATAGAGATATCCACCACCAGGCCTGTGGATTTTACCTCTTTGTGTATCCATATATCTGTGTGATCCATGGATCCACTGACACTCTGTGTATCAGTGTCCATCCAGGTTTCTCCCTGCTCCGAGTACCATTCTGAAGCCATCTCCTGTCACTTGGACATGCAACCACTTCCTAACTGGTCTCCTCCTCTTGCTACACTGCAAACAAGTTCACACAGTTCTGAATATGATCTTTGCAAAATGGAAACCTGATTGTGTCACTGCCTACCACTTGTACCACCGTCCTCTCCCTCCTCCCAAACATCACAATGGCTTACCAGTACTATGAGGACAAGCAGAAAACTCCTGAACCTGCCCTTTGTGTAGACTCTTTGTGGTTTGGCCCCTGCTGACCTGGCATACCTCCTTATTTTAACTCCTACTCCATCTCCAGGGCCAACTTAACCGTTTCTTCCCAAGGACATCCTTCCCTGATGCCTTTGACTAGGTCGCATAGCAGCTTGCATCACACACATACCACTTCTTCAAAGTCCTCAGCTTGGTTATACTTTTACATTGGTTTGTGTAATTATTTCATTTGTTTCTGTTTCCCCAGTAAGCTCCATGGAGGCATAGAGTGTCTATTTTTGCGTCATTGTCTCCTAGTGCCTAGTACACAGTAACACACACAACGGATGTTTGTGGAATGAATGAGTACAGGTTTTATAATGGCCGCTTTGTTTTCTGTCATTTTCCTAAGCTTCTATTGCTGACTCTTTAGGTTGTTTCCAGGGTCATTGCTATTACAAAGTACGATGCAGAGAACATCACCATGTAGCCATCTTTGTGTACTTGTGTATTAATGTACCTCTAAAGGATAAAACTGTAGAAATAGAATTCTCAAATCAAAGGCATATGAAGAGGTCATTTGACATGATGTTGGACACCAGCATCATAAGTGTCTTTCTCTACTTGGGAAATTCTGCACTCAATTATTTTGAGTGACAGGCAGAGCCCACTTGCCACTGCAGAGGTGAAAAATGCCAGCTCATTTTCCTATGACTTCCTTGTGGCTAGAGAGCAGGCATGTGACTTTGACTCAACTCAGCAAGATGCTTTCCTCCTTGAGTTGGAAAAGCAGGAACCAGGGTGAATTCATCTCCCCCCAGAGGAAGGCTCCACGGTGACAGTAAACAGCGTCCAGCACAGGCAGTGGCACTATAGTTATGGCAGCTTGCCTGGTCACCATGGTTCTTATCTGTTTTTTTAGGTTTGAGACTTTAGCCTTCCCTGGGATTCTATGAGCTACTCAAGCCTTTCAAAAACAAACAGACAAAAAAAACCAAAAACCTTTTTTCTGCTTACATTAACCAGTCAGTAAAACAACCAGGGCTCCCGACTGATGAAGTGTATGCATTTGAAAATCTGGAAGCTAGTGCCAAATTGCTCCAAAGAGGTAGCACAAATTCACACTCCCATCAGCAAGATGCCCAGAATCTGAGTTCCTGTCTTCCCTCTAGTACTTCTTATGTTGCTTTGCAATGACCTATTTCTAGGGAAGGGGGCATTTCTTATTCATTTTTTCTAGACTAAGGCTCTAACCTAGGGCCTGGCAATTTTAGGCACTTACATGCATGATAAATGAATGAACGAAAAGAACTGTCTTTAAAGAGTTTGAGAAACACCAAACAAAGGTACTGTAGCTTGAATCAGAGACTGGGAGTCGGAAGGACACCCATCTGTCTCCTTATTCGTCTTTTTCCCTTTGTTTTTTTAGAGGCAGAGTCTCCCTATGTTGCCCAAACTAGCCTTGATTTCCTGGGCTTAAGTGATTCTCCTGCCTCAGCCTCCCAAGTAGCAGGGACTATAGGCATACACCACTGCAGCTCCTTATTCTGAGGTGGGAGCTAAAAGTCCAGAGGAGGCAAGCAGCTCCACCAAGGAGACACAGCTAGCCAAGTGGAAGCAGTCTTAGATCCAAGTCCACCAAGTCTGTTTTCAGCCCACCTTCAAGTCCACTCCTCTGCAAGGACTGCTGCTTCCACAGCGTTTCTCTTCTTTGGGTCTCCTGATCCAGGGAGTAGATTTCAGCTGAAATGATGTGCAAAGGAGCCACCTCGAACCTATGAAACCGCCAGAAAATCACCGTGTGAAAGGCAGAAGGCTGGCAACCACCCGTTTGGAAAATTGCCTCTGTAGTAACTGGAGGGCACGCATATGTGTGGAAGGATCAAGCGTCAGCCTTGCTGTGGCCACAGTTTTGATTTTCCTTTATTCTTTGTATTGCTTTCAAATCAAAGGGAAGCCGTAGCAGAGAACCTCTTGCCCTGAGCTACACATATGAAAATGAACAAGGTTATAGGAGTCGCGTGTTTTCAATAATGGATCGCTGGTGCCGCCCTTTCTAGTAAATGAAGCGAGACTGTTGCTAGGTTGGCAGTAAGAGGCACTGGGCCGGGGTAGGGGTTCTTAATTCCAGTGGTTTTACCTTTCCCACATCCCCCCACTATTCATTCCAGTCCAACCAATTGGTAGAATAAGAATTCTGAGCAGAACAGTGTCTCATTCTATTTCAAGCACCCCCACCCACTTTTTAACATTTCTATCACCACGGCTTGATAGAGAAAAATATTCACAAAGCCGAGTCCGTTTTGAAGAGAACATCTGTAAAATTGGGTCAGCAGATACATTACACGTTGGCGTGGAAGATGAAATAGAACCCTGTCTGGTCTGAGCTTCACAGCAACAGGGAAGGGCTTTGTTTCCATGGTGGCGCGCGCTTGGACTTGTGCCTTAAGGCTCTGATCCTGCCACACAGCCCAGGCCCCTGGGCAGCCACAGGGCGCCGCCGCCCTTTGCCCTGGCTTTAGGAACAGGCTGGATCTTGGCTGTAGAGACAGCGTGTGGTTCCTCAGAGAACCACTGGAGGCCGCTGTGGCACCAAGAACGCAAGAAGGGCGCCCGGCTGGTGGAGTGGGTGTCTCCACGGAGTAATGACTGTCGCACACACTGACTGTTCTCAAATTCTAGCCCAGGATTTTAAAGACACTGTTATGAATTAACGAGAATAAAATACTTGGCAGATGAAGCTCGCGTCTCGGATCCCCTGGGGTTGTTTTCTAACTGCTTTCTAACTCATTTCCACCCCCCTCTGGAACTGGGTCTCATTTGCAATCCACGAGGCACAGGCTTTATATATGGTGGAAACGTCCTCCCAAAATGACACAAATGTTACCCTTGCAGCCTATAGTATTCATTCCCAAATACTACTGCAAAATAGGATATTATGCTATTTTCAGTCAAGCAGTATCGGCGGCAGGTGGCAACCACCATGTGGGCTGCAGGAGTACGGCTGCCGGATAAAATGCAGGATGCCCTGTTAAATATGAATTTCAGATGAACAATAGATAATTGCTTAATATAAGTATGTCCTACGTAGTGCATGGATCATACTTATACTACATAAATATTCACTGTTTATCTCAAATTCAAATGTAAGTGGGCGTCCGGTATTTTTATTGGTTAAATCTGGCCTTCCTTCACAGGAAGGTTCACTCAGGTGAGGTAGCAAGGAGGTGACCTGGTGCCCTGCGGGCACTTAGAGCTGGGAGGTTGTGAGAACTGAAGCTGAGCACAAAGAGTTCTATTCCAACGTGGGAGGTAATATGTGTCACACGTTCTCACAGAGAACAAATACACTCAGACCTCCCTGGTGAAAAGGGGTCTTGGAGGAAGAGATTTGCACGGTAACTGGAGATAATATTCCATTTTCCACTTTTTGGTTATTGCCTTTACCATAATACCTACATAGGCATACCAGCTTCGAGTAGCATTATTCCAAGTCCCCCTGAAAGGCAGAGTTCAGTTCCACTGAGTTCAACCAAGGGCCATCATACCCTGGCTCTGGAAGGTCGAGCGCACACACACTCCGCTGATGTAAGCCTTGCCCCTGGTGTGATCGTTTCAGGTCCCAGAGTGAACCTGGGTCTGCTGGTAGATTTTATAGACTATTGGGCAGCCAGAGAAGGAAGTGGAAGGCAGCAGGGGAGAATTTGCATTATACTACAGGAGGCACATCAGGCATTTAGAACCTGGGGGTCCTTAACTCCCCAAGGTCACAACATACTAATGTTCACCTCCCCCAACTCCTCAAAAGGCTCTCCCCTCTGGGTGGAGATCTCCATGAGTTAGTGGTGACATGTGTCCCTGGAATTTTTATTTTATGGCTTGGTGGATAAACAAGAGCAACTTAAGAACCTCCAATCTCTGGCTCCCTTTTGGTGGTCTGCTTAGCAATTCAGGCAGCCCAGAAAAAAAAATGTTGGTGGATCTCAAGAGCAACAGCAAGAGAAGCGCCCTTGTGGCCTCAGATTGATCCTGTTCTGCCTCTTGAGAGCCGGACAACCTTGGGCAAGCCACTTCCCTTCTGTGGGCCTGTTTGCTCGGTGGACTGGGGAAAGTAAGCACGCCTCTCGAGTAGGTTTGTGAGCCCTCAGTGAGGGGGTCTTGAGGACATACAATGCCTGAGCAGTGTCTGGCATCCATTCCATAAATGTGCCTTCTGTTTTTCCTTTCATGAGCCCTGGAGAAGGGTGGGATCCACCTGAAAATGACACTGATCCTGACCCTGACACATGAGTGACCATGGATAAGTCTCAGTCTCCTTCTTGGGTTTGGGTCTCTCCATCTAGGGACATCTTCCCAGTTGTCATACTCTACAGTTCTGTGAGAAGCCAGCTGTTCTGTACATAGGAGCTGTGTTCATTGTGAGTGGAAATATACATCCTACACATTTACTTTCTTTCTTTTTGTAGACACTAGGCTTTGAAGGACCTCCCACCTCCAACCTCACACAC